ACCCACTCCAAGGCACATCATTATTAAAATGCCAGAGGTTAAAGATAAAGAGAGAATCTTAAAAGCAGCAAAAGAAAAGCAGTTAGTTTACTATAGGGGAGTTCCCTTAAGACTGTCAGCTGATTTCTCAAAAGAAACTTTGCAGGCTAGAAGGGATTAGCAAGAAATATTCAAAGTTATGAAAAGTAGGGACCTATAGCCAAGATTGCTCTACCCAGCAAAAATATCATTTAGAATTGAAGGGCAGATAAAGAGCTTCCCAGATGAGAAAACACTAAAGGAGTTTGTCATCACTAAACCATTATTATATGAAATGTTAAAGGGGCTTATTTAAGAAAAAGAAGATCAAAACTATGAACAGTAAAATGGCAATAAATATGTATCTATTAACAAATGAATCTAAAAACAAACTATGCAAACAAGAACAACAGAGACAGAACCATGGATATGGAGGGAACTTTGATGGTTGCCAAATGGGAGGGGATGTGGGATAATGAGGGAAGAGGTGAGGGGATTAAGATGTACAAATAGGTAGGTACAGAATAACTGTGGGGATGTAAAGTAAAGTATACGAAATGGAGTAGCCAAAGAATTTGTGCGCATGACCCATAGACATGAACAATGGTGTGAGGATTGCCTGAGGGAGGGGGGTGTGCTGGATGGGAGGACAAAGGGGTAAAAATCAGGACAACTGTAATAGCATAATCAATAAAATATAATTTTTTAAAAATAAAGATTTTATTTATTTTCAGAGAGAAGATAAGGGAGGGAAAAAAGAGAGGAAAACAGAAACATCTATCAGCTGCCCCTTGTGTGCCCTGATCTAGGGACCCGGCCCACAACCCTGACTCGGACTCAAACTGGCAACCTTTTGGTTTGTAGGCTGGCACTCAATCCACTGAGCCACACCAGCCATTGTAACAGTAGGGCCCATTTCTGAGTCTTCATTTTTTACCTTATACTTAGAACAGAGCCTGGTACATAGTAGTCATTTTAAGTACTCAACAGATATCTGTTAAACTGATCTTGAATGACAAGTAGTAGGACTTCAATTGTGTAAAACTGGGACAAAACAGAGCCGATGTTTGCAAAGAAAAGAAACATAAAGCCTGAACAAAAAGAGGAAAATGTGGGCAGAGAATAGCCTCATTTGGATGGATCAAAGTTCTCACAGAAAGGCTCTATTTGAAAGTTTAATGATTTTATGTGAGACACACCAGTGTCAGCTGTGTGGTAAAGGCTGGAGTTCATTATCAAGGAGATGTATCCCGAGAAGGTGGTAAGGGCCACTAACAATCTTCATTTCAGACATCTGGCTGAATAGTGGCTGAATGAAAATGCGCAAAAGGAGAGAAATTTTAGGAAAGATCAAAATACAAGTAAGAAAGATTCAGGATGCCAGAAGTCCAAAACCAAAGTGTTAGAAGGTTTCATTCTTTCTTGGGAACTTAGAGGGAGAATGTGTTCTACTTGTCTCTCCTAACTTCTAGTGGCTGCTGGCAATCCTTGACTCATTGCAGCATAACTCCAATCTCTAGCTCTGTTGGCACATGTCATTCTCCCTGTGTGTCCCTGTTATGTCTCTGTGTCTCTTATCTTATAACCACACCAGTCATATTAGATTTAAAGGCCACCTTACTCCAGTATGAACTCAATATTAACTAATTACATCTATAAAAAACCTATTTCCAAATACAGTCACATTCTGAGGTTCTGAGTTGGCATTTTGGGGTGACAGTATTTGACCCAGTATAAGTATTTTCCTAACTCATCTTTATTTTTTAATATTTATTTATTTATTTTTAGAGGGAAGGGAATGAAGGGAGAAAGAGAGAGAGAAAAACATCAGCGTGAGAGAGAACCATGGATCAGTTGCCTGTCATACACCACCCCTGCATTGGGGCCCAAACCCAAAACCAGGCATGTGTCCTGACCAGGAATCAAACTGGCTATGTTGTGCTTTATGGGATGATGCCCAACCCGCTAAGCCACATTGGTGAGGACTCTTACCCTTATTTTTATAATAGCTTCAACAGGCTATTATTATAAGAACTAGAATTTTAACCTTACACAGGAGGATAGGAAAATGATTGGATGCTCAGGTCATAGGATTTAAATTCCATCTGTTCCTCTTCCCAGTTGTGTTACCTCTTCAGTTGATAGTTTTCTCATTGAATAAACAGGGAGTGATGTTTCCATGTGTTTTGAGGAGGATTAAGTGATATAATATGCGTAATGCATTTAGCATGGTACCTGGCCCAGAGAAACAGTTCTTTACTCCACAGAGGCCGACCTCTGCTGTAAGGAGGTGGAAATGAGTGTTTCTGTTCACATAAACAAAGATAATTTATCATTTCCATATAGTTGCAGCTGATGGTCCTCTTTACAGAGCTACTTGCATTGTTTTGATTTACCACTTTGCTACCAAGATTCCTCCATGCCTGGTTGTTTGATACTAACATGAGTGATGGACCACCACCCTTGTTGACTCACATTCCATAGAAATGCTGGATCGTTCATCACTGTCCTTCAATGTTTAGAATTTCAGTTTGCCCATCAACTTTATAACACTTCACTATTATATTCCCAAAAGCAACTGTTTAAACACAATCACCATCATCTTCCTTAAGTTGTTTTTTTGAAATTATTTTAAAATATATATATAAATAAAGTCTTAACTTTCATAAATACATTATTTCACTAAACCTTTAGAACTCTTGGAAATGGAAAACCAAGTATTTTATCTCATTTCTTTAATGAGTAAGTTGATATTCAAGTAGTAACATGAGAAATACAGCACTTTGCTATACCCTGGTCAGTGGAAATGTCATACATGTATCTTCCATGTACTTGCTTATATGGATTGGCCTTATTCTATTGTTGAACATCTGATAATAAAATGTGAACATTTTAATCTACATATGCAGTCTTGGTGGTCACTATTTTATCCATAGAGAAAACTTGCTACTATACCTTTGAATAGACTTAAAACTTGATGTTAATTTGTCAAATCTACATTGGTCTTCTGTTGGTTTGCTTGATTTATCCCTCAACCTGGTTGGCTTGCTGTTTTCCATTGTGCCAGACAGAGAAGCTAGCAGAAGAAGTAACAATTTGAAGCACTTTTTGCCATTTGTGAAACACTTTTATGGATCCAAACTCTTATATTCAACTGATTGCATGGAGCGATGCACAAATACAACATGGAAATGTAATACCCTTAACACTGAGCTTCCATTTGCCAAACAGGCCAATATTCTTTGGATTTTAAGAATTTCTGAATGCTATTGCCTGTTGTAAGGTGCATGCATAACTAGTGTCCATTTAAGATGGAGCCAAACCTCTAAGAAAATTTTAGGGGTCGATATGAGCCAAACCAACAACGGTTGCCCAGAAGCAGAATTTCAACGGACTGAGAAAATGCTCCAGAAAATGTCAGCTTTACACCTTAGAATCAAAGGGGAAGATGTAAGTGGGTTACATGAAATTTACTGGTGATAGATTAGGGAGGAAGGAGAAAGCAAAGCAGGGAAATCTCTGGGATTGGATAAAAAGTAAAACAAATAGGCACATAGTTCTTTTATGTGAGCAGTTATAGGACAGCTAACCATTCACACGATAATAACAACAACTAACAACAACAAAGGAATTTGTGGTCTCTGCTCTGGTGGTTGGTTGTTCTTTGAGGGGTCCAGAAAAAAGGAAATTACTTTGATATTCCAAAGTTATGTTACTGTAGAAACAAAAAGGCAAACACACATACACACACAACAGACAGGCTCCGTTAAGTCAAAACTGACCTTTGTTAGGGAGAAACACTGGCCTAGGATATAACTGCTTTTAGTTACAGTTTTAATTTCAAGTCTCTGAGTTTGTGAAGCCACAATGCAGGCCTCCCTTAAGCTTGTCAGGTTTAGTACATGGCCCCTTTTTCATTCACACGAAGCAGGCAGGGAAATTCACAAACTGACTTGTAAGATCAAAACAAATCATGCATTAATTTCAAACCTCAGGAAGCCCAAGGCTGTGTACCAACTACTTGAATCTAGAGAAACCAAATGCAACAAAATTGCTGGTAGTTCATAAAAGCTGCATGTGTTTTAGATCTGGTATGTGGTTCTACATGCATTTCAAGTGTATCTACATGATTCTTTTGGTTTACTTTATACTAAGTACAGTAATTTCCGTTTATAACAGAGAAGGAAGCACTTACAACAACAACAACAAAAAGAGAGATCTTAGTGTATGTGTGCCAAAGACAAGGCTGGATGGGTTTTGAATTCATTGGGAGACCTCTAATTTCTGTGACTGTGATACTGTTAGTCTGGTATTCCACCACATATAAAATAGGTTTTTAACAGAACACAGACTTCATGAATTTGTGGTTTGTCTAAGCTTCCTTTTTAAAAATCCCAAACATAGTGCAGATAAATATGATCTCCGTTGCTTTTTAAATTGTACTTTACAAAATAAAAATAAAAACACTTTTCAGAACACTGTAAACCCCAGGAATGTTTATTGATATGGATGAAGCAATTTAGAGATTTAAGATAAACAGGGAGGACATTGCAGTAGATTGGGTAATGAGAAAGCATTTTAGCACAGGTTTTGCCACAAAGCATTTGGGAGTCTTAAGTCAGAGCTTCAGAATTCCTTCTGAAAAGGACAAAAGAGAGACTTCCTGTCATTTCCACTGGTTTCTGCATGTGGGACCAATATGGGCAATCCAAAGTTTAAACAGATGCAAATGGTGAGGGGAGGAGGCAAAGCCATGCCTCGTTTTACATATTTCTCCAAATCCAGATTGAATTAGGCCAGTCTCTCCTAAAAGCTTCCAGAGCAGACTTCTACTGAAGTTACTGCACACTTGAATGGTTTATTTCACCAATATTTGCTTATGGAAATGAAGGGGAGTGACAGAGGGGAAGGAGGAGGGGAGCGGAGGCGGGGTTTGGGGCTGAGGGAGGCTCTGACCGCAGCACAACACACCAGTAACCTTGTCTGATGTGATCATTAACCCTCTGGAAACGGCAGCTGGCAGTGCTCTGAGGTTTGTCATTAGAATGTGAGAAGAGCCTCACAGACACTGCACAGGCTGTTCAAAGAAGTTTGATTCCCTTTGGGAGCTACTGTTCCTTTACAGTGTGGCAGAAAAATGAGATTTCAACAATTCTTTTTTGTATTTTTAGTTTTTATGATGAGTCTTCTTCTTATCAATGGACAAAGACCAGGTAAGACTGACATTATTTGTCGCAAGTCACTTGTTTTTGCGCCTGTTTGTCTCAGTGTTTCTCTGAGCACAGTTGTGCTTCTGTCGAAAATCACTTCGGTGTGCGTGGAGGCGCCGGGGGTGTGCGGGACTGCAGAGGTACGCTATTTAACCTGTTAGGTCTATTATTTCGCTGGTTTTTAAATAAATGGATATTAAAACGATGGTAAATACTTTACTACTATTTTTCTAATTTTTTAAAATATTGATTCTTCAGCTATTGTAGATATGTTAAAGGAATGAAAATGATTAGTCCATTCATTACGGAGGTAAACAAAACAAAGATTTTTCGGTATAAATGCAAAATTCAAAGCAATTTATTAAAAGAGCACGTAGCCAGCTAAAATGAGGCAATGTTGACTTAACTAACAACATATAAAATTCATAATGTATCAAACTGTAGATGAATTCTTAGACTTGGTCAATAGCATTATTTCCAGTTACACATAATTAGATGTGTCACTTAAAAAGAAAAGTACAATTTTAGTATTGTGTTTATAAAGCCAAAATTGCCAAAAGTATGTATGGTTAAGATAAATATTCATTTACTTGGCATATTCTTTAAAGCTGGTATCAGTTGTATTGTCCTTATCCAACAGGAATTTAGTAAACAGTTATTCTAAAGTGCTTTTACTTCAAGACCAAATATCTAAGATTTCTAAGCACTTGCAAGTGAAAACAAAACAGAAAATTTTCTGACTCAGGAAAATGCATACCCAAATTTAAATGGAAGGGTGATTATATTTATATTCGAATGTGTTATATTGTTCACTTAATAATATAATTCTCCATTTAGAACAGAAAATGGTACATCAGTGGTTAAAAATTTAGTCTGCCCTTTAGTTAATCGGAAGTTTGATCACTGAGGTTATTATTTCGAATAGAGTCCCTTGGTGTGTCCTTTTACATAAATAAGAAAAAAGTCCCCAACTAGCGACTTGGAAAGCGTTCCTTTTCACTGTTTACATCCATTGCTCCTCAAACCATTTCCCCTTTTGTGAAATATGGAACATCTTGGACAATGTTCTTGTAAAATATTTCTGATTAATTCACGACATAAAATAAAAGCTCCAGGAGCATTTAGGACGAAGAAATGTAGAAAGAGGGGGATATTACTATTAGATCCTTCTATTAAGGTGAACTGTTGGGAATAAACCTTGTATTTCTACATCACGTTAATTTTTTATGTAAAAAATCCTAAATCTTCCCTGGCATCCCCCAGACTGAAAAAACAGTTCGTTTTCTGATAAAAATGCTCCTAATATTTCTCTCTTTTCCCCTCAGCTAATTTGGCCACGAGAAGGAAACTACATAGACTCAGCTGCCACCAGAGGAGATGCATTCCTCTCCATTCACGAGTGCCCTTCCCCTGAGGTATTTCTGATGGAAAATCGCTTTCCTACATGTAGGCAGAGGTCCATATCCGATAGACTTACCAAAGAATGTCTGTTCCAATTTTGCAACATGCAACAATGGCTTTATGGTAATGTCAGTTTAAGACATGCGTGCTAACAGATGAAACAGTGAAATGACATGATGATTAAAATAGTTTAATGGGGTAGATGAAAAAAATGTAGGAAAATCTTGATAATTGTTGAATCTGAGTAATAGTTATATGGGGATTAATACTATTTTGTGTGTTTGACAATTATAATTAAAAATCAGGCACCAGGAGAATATAATTAAGAAAGTACCTTTAAATATGTGTTTCGAAAAACACTGAATCGCTCCCTATTGGAAGCGTTTGGATATGTATGCCCAACTACACTGTATGAATGATGTGATAGCCTTAATATAGTTTCTTTTTCCTGGTACTATTTCTTCTAATATATAAAATCAACTTAATTTTAATGGCATAGCATTTTTACAGCCTCACCCATGGAATTCTTGATGGTTGCATCTTTAAGAACAAATTCTGAGTGGAATTTTGCTCCTCCTCCACTTTTTTGTTGGAAAAAAAATTAAAAGACCAATGATTTTACATCACCATGAAGCAGTAATACTGTCTAAATCAATTAGCTTCAAACACTGCCCAAGTTGAAGTTACTTTGCATGAAATAAGTAATTAACTTGGCATTCCATTTAATTACTTTAAGCTGTTAAGTCATAAAATGTATCTTCCTTTAAAAAAAAGCCATAGAAATATTCCTGGGCTGGTAAATATACACAGACAATTGCTGAATTGGCTTATTCAGCTGGCCTATGAACTGTAGCTTTTATGGCACTATTCATTCAGAGGAAAGAATGGTTGCTATACCTATTTAATATGTGCTTTCAAACCCAGTGAAAGCCCTGCATAGGACATTAAAAGAGGGAAGAGCAATTCGATAATAAGCTTTCAGTACCAAGCACTTTTCACGAGGACTGAGACAAAAATGCCAAAGTCTCTATGTCAATACCTGTAACAAATTACTCTTTGCTATCAACATATGAAAAATAAATTTGGTGAAAGAATCCAGAAAGATGCAATAAGAAGTTCTTGAGAAGAGAATTAGTAGAGGCTCAACTATGCTTTAAAAGGATTTTATATGTCTTTAAAAAGTCCTTTGCTGTGTGTTGATCATGCATTTTAGTCTCACATAGAAATAAATAATGGTAAAATCTGTGCTGAGGAGGAGGAAGAAGTTCAGGATTTTCCCAGCACTCCTCCACAAATAACAAAGAGGAGAGGAGGCATTTCACAATAGCAAGGGAATTCCTGCATACACAGAGCGAGATACCTTACATAACTAAATAAAAGCCCTCAGTGAGCCTCAGGCTTTACTGGCTTTCTCCACAAACCACCTGCCATAAAAGCTAGTGTTGCATGCAAACAAGATAAAGTTAGGAAATTTGAATCTGCAAAGTTAAGGAAAAGTTTTGACCTATAAACCAAATTTGCAAACCAAAGGAAAATTTAAGTGAAGGCTATATAGACCATTTAATAAAAAGAATCCTGCACAAAATTAGGCGGAACCTGTTAAAGAACTGCTCAGCTTACAGCATTCATTTTGTCAGTCTTTGGACTAGCTCTACATCCTAGCCACGCTTCTTTGAAGAGTGTATAAAAACCTTATTTTGGAATCTGGAGATGGCAAAAGAACCAAGGCAAGATAACACATTAGATAATGTTCTAAGATCTCGCTGAACCAGTGCTAGAATAGCAAGTGCTTCCTTCAAATTTGATAGCATAATTCTCACTGGCCTGAAATTTGCACATATTTTATATGCCTGGCCACAAAACTTCCTGTCAGCTTGATAACTGCATGCCGGCCCCATAGACCTAGGTAGTGGAACTCTGAGGCAGAACCTCCCCTTCATTTATTCCCCTCTGTTTTCCTGCATGCTTTAGATAAAATGACTTCTGCTTACTTGATTCAGTTAGAGTCAAGTAAAACTGTAAAAGGATAGGAAGGGTAAAAAGTTAACTTTGGAATTTTTCCAGATTAACCCTTTAGAGTGGCTTAGACTTTTAACTCACTTCACAGCAATGTTCTATCACCTTGAACATCAATGTTTTCAGCTTCTAGAGTCCTCTTCAGTGATCCTCAGTAAAACTCCCTAACAGTTAAGTAGAAATTGACTTAATCCTATAGAAAACTTAGGCTGCATGCAATTCCTGTTCTTGATCTCTTTTTTCTCACTGAAGTATTTTGGCATTACATTCAGTGCTAAGTGAGCTGGAGTAGAGGGAAGCAGGAGAAGGGCTGTCGGGGGATTCTAAGCTCGCAGGTCCATGTGAGGGCTCCAGAGTGGAAAATGGGGTAGGGGCCTTTAGACTGTAACGATTTCTCTCTTCCAACAGTGAATCTTACTACATCAATGCTTTTACATATAAATGTGTGCTCCCGATAACTATATATCCTACTAGTACATCCCCTAGCTTTTTCATTATAATTGTAATATATTTTCATGGTGTGTAACTTCTTTTTAACAGTATGGAGGTATGTAAAGTCAGAAGTAAATCTTCCTACCTTCATGCCCATTTTCACTTACCAGAAGTAATGGCTATGAAAAAAAGAGTTCTGGTAAAGTTGCCTTTTATAAATGAGACCAGCTAATATTCTCTTGCCACCCTTTTTAAAAAAATTGTATTGGTTAGGTAAATGATACAGTTTTCAGATATACAATTCTATATGCCACCCTTGCCATTCAAAACCTAAGTTCTATTTTTTGTCTTATTCTTACCCTTCAAAGTAAGAATGACCAAATCTCTGCCCTACCTCCCAACTCTTTCCACAAATGTCCTGTTGCCTTAGCCCTTCACACTCCATTCTGCCTTTCTGGCTAAACCAAAAGCCAAGTTTGCCTTTGTCACAGAATCGCCACGTTTTAGTGCAGCACTTCATCTCCAACTTCAGCAGCGCTCTCCAGAAAGTACTCTTCCGTTTACTCTTTGGTGCTTCTGAGTCCCATTCACCTATATATTTCAAATATTCAGTGACCTCTAGTTTCCTTAAACTTCTTTTTTTTTTTTTAGATTTTATTTCTATATCTTTAGCTAAATAAGGGATGGAGGGAAAAAGGGAGGGAAGCATCGACATGAGAGAGAAATATCCATTGGTTGTGTCTCCTTTGTGCCCCTACCAAGACGAAACTGCAACCCAGACATGTACCCTGACCAGGAATGGAACCAGTGGCCCCTTAGTTTGTCAGATGGCGCCCAGCCAACTAAGCCACACGAGTCAGGGCTCCTTAAACTTCTCCACCTCCTTTTCTAATTCACAGCAAGAGCTAATTCCTCTTTCCACAGAAAATGGAGATAACCAAGCTGCACAATCAGACCCTGCCCAAACTTACAAACATCTACATCTGCAACACTTCTAGTCTCGCTTGCTAGTCTTTCACTAACAGATTCCTCTCTTGGGTAAGGTTAATCTTTCTACACTTCAGGAACTTTGATCCGGCAATTACTCCCTTTTCTCCCTAGAATGTTCCTCAGTCAAAACTGTTCTATTCTACTCTATATTTAAAGGAAAAAAAGTGCACTATTGACCTTATTGTGCTCTCTAGTGAACAACCCATGTTCTATATACAGCCAATTTTCTTGAAAAGATGGCTCTTTCCTGTCTTCTCGGCTATTGTTAACACACTGCTCCCCTATACATACTGGGAAGGGTCCCTAGTGACTTCTCAAATCCAGTGAACACGTTTTGGCCCTCATCTCGGTTATCTTGCTATAGGTCAAATCACTGAATGAATTGTCCTTGGTTTCAGTGACGCCATCCTCCCTTGTGACTGTTCATCTCTATATTGGAGACAAATTACTGTCCTTTTCAGGACCTGTAATGGTGTCCAAATGCCTTCTCAGCATCACCTTAGCTGTCATCTGGTCTTTCCAAACTAAATCCAATCGTATCACAACACGATCAAAACCCTTAACTGTCCCTGTAGCCTTCAGGATAGTGAGAATTCCCATAGTTTAATAAACAGCACCTTACAAATTGTACCTCTTCGGCATTATCTATCACCCCTTCCCCCCTTTCCCCTTATGGAGGGAATAAGAATTAAGACTTTGGACTTCTGGATTTAAGCTCTGGCTACATAGCTTACTCACTGGTGATCATTGGTAAGTCACTTACCCTGTCTAAGCCTCCCTCCACTTCCAGACCTGTAAGATGCAGCTGGTAATGATACTTAAGCTTATAATAACCATTCCCAGCACATAATAAATGCTAAATACAACAGAGAGTAGCTAGCACTATTATTACCATTATTTTAAAGTCAGTTAATTCTTCACCTCTTGCTACACATCTGCTGCAATGACCTTTCTGTATTTTTTTGCTTACTCTCAAGTCATTCTCTAGGAAATGTTCCCTGATTTTGATGTCCCTACCACTTGTATTATTAGATGCCCACTTTTTTCAGCACCAATTGTATACTTCTGTCAAAGTACTTGACTCACTGCATTGTAAAAATGTGTGAACTGACTGTACTCTTCCCCTCCACCCCCTGCAGGCTATACATTTCCTGAAGGCAGAAGGCTGAATGGGGTATTCTGACTCTGTTAAATTAACATTTGTTAAGTGGAGCACCCAGAGTGCATAATGGTGAGCCTTAATCCAACAGCTGACTACAGATAAATTGCAATAGAGAAGTTTATTATTCATGGCATGCCTGTAGGGGCCACATGGGGAGGTCAAGGCAGAATGGAGACAGAGAGAGAATAGTGACAGAGAAGGAGAGAAAGATAATGGGACCTGTATTAGAGTTTGTGGGTGGAGCGCTTTTGCATTACTGGCCTTAGGGCTGGATTGGTAAATTGAAACCAAAATAGGTGGGTTTGGGTAGGCTCCACAGGGATTTTTTTTATCTAAGAGGAAGATAAAGGCCTTGGAAGGCCCCGGAGACTGCTGATCGCAAGGGCTGCTGGAGAAGTCATATCAGGAACTTACATTTGCTTGCGACTCTGTGACTGCTGTCCAGAGCATGTGTTTGCATAAGGGGGCTAGTATCAGTTTAAGGTCTTTGCAGGCCACTTGGCCAAATGAAATGAATGCTGAGGCGGGAATACCATGGAGTGGCTTACCTAAATTCTCAACAATGGGTTGCTGCATTTACCTTTGTGTCTTCAGCCAAAAAAGAGAGCCCAAAATACAGCAGGCATTCCACAAACGTTGCTAAAAGAAGTGAAATGAAACTTTTATTATCTTAGCCTTTAAGACTTGCCATCCACAGATCCCATCACACATTTTCATCTTTATTTTCTAACATGAACTGCCAAACTAAACTTCAGTTTCCTATAGCTGTGCTGGAAGTGTTTGGTCTTCCAGGAACTGATTGCTTCCCTCATCAAGTTCAAGCCCATTCCCTCCCCTAGGGTTCCCCTCAAATTCCGTTTTCTGTATGAGGCCCACCCTGACCCAATTGTCATAAAATAACCTTCCACTCTCTTAACAATCACAGCATTTTTATCAGTAGAGGTTTTTAAATTTTATTTTTAGCAGCAGATTTTTAAAAGCTATTTATCATATTCATCTTTATTTCATCAGATTTTATCCATATTTGCATGTGAGTGCCTTGAAAACAAGATAGGGCCCCTAAAGTTTCATGTATATACCTTTATAATGTGTGAATGCCCTGAAAGCACCTTTAAGTATAAAGGATTCCTTCATGGACTATAATATCTGCAAGATGTCCTGCTTAAAATTAAATATAAAAAACTACTGTTTTCTCAGTCATAGCCCAGTGTCCAAGGACCATGCTCAGAAAATCCCTAATGTCTCTAACTTACTGAAGAAGTGGAACTTTTCTATAAAGGTCATGATGCCTTAATGATAATTATATATTATATATTGAATACATAAATATACAAAATATAGTTATATGATTTAAATGTATATTCCCCCATATGTACTGATGTATACAATGAACTAAATGTGTATATGATGAACTAAAGCCCAACTTCAGAGTTTCTTCACTTTGGAAACTGATCTTCATTTACAAAGTCTGAATAATTCTTTCTGCAAATATTTACTTAAATATTTACTTAAATAGTAGCTCTCTATCATGTTCAGAAGTCTAAAATTTTTTTAGCATAAATCTTTTGTCTTCAGTTTATTCTCAATTATATATTCAATTAGTGACCTAGGGATATGAAGTTAACTTTAACACATTTGAAAAATATATTATTCTTAGATAATAGCAGGAAAATATTTATAGTTTTGTGGGTGACTTGAAAAACAAAATCATTGCTAATTAACAATGTCAACATATTTAATACTTTAATGTATTTTTTAATAGTAGTACATATTACTGAATGCCACAATTCTTCCAACACTATCAATATCAATATATATAGATGAATTGTAAACTTCTTGATCATAATAAAATTAGAAGTAATTATCACCAGAAACATTTATATTTGTGTCAGTGTATCTACAATTCCTCAGAACATTGCTAATTTATAATTAAAATCCTTGATAGAATATTTAAAAATATAAATAAAATAATAATACAAACCACATATCAGCTGCTTTGTAAAACTTTTATTAGAGAAGAAAAATAGGTAGAATACACAAGCTTTCCCACGATATTCTTCTAGGTCTCAGCCATGCACACCCATAGTCGCACTGAGAGCTTGGTCAGCCATTGCCACTACAGTCGGGCCTTGCAGAATATTGACCACCTTTTTCTGTATCCACTGAATCTATTGATTTTTGAGAGAGACAAAGAGGGAGGGGTGGGGAGAAACACAGATTTGCTGTTCCACTTATTTATGCTTTCATTGATTGCTTCTTGTATGTATGTACCCTAACCAGAGACTGAACCCACAAGCTTGGCATATGGGGATGACATTCAAACCAAATGAGCTATCCAGCCAGGGCTGGAGCCACTTTTAAATTCTTATCTATAATTTCAGTTCTTCACAGTGCCCAGCAAACCTACTACGTTCCTATAGGCAACTTGCTCCATGTATTCCATAGTAACTCTTTCTAACTTTTTGACTCGCCTCAAATTTTAGACCTTTCTTTTCATTTCCAGCAGATGAACTTGTATCTTATATCAAAGAGAGAAAAAAATCATCAGGTGGTTTGTACCTCAACTTCCCAGTACCAAACTAGAATCTCATCTAAGCCACCTCTTATCCTGCCCACTCCTATCCTCTTCTTGTCTCTTGGTGCCATGGAAGCCATGACCATTCCTCCAGGAACCCATTCCCCACTTCAGGTGAAAGGAGGAGCAAGGATTAGGAAAGCTGGCCATTACTGATCAGATCCTGATCATTTGAAACCAATTGCTGCAGAGGTTACAATTTGGTTTCCTGAGCCAGTTAGAGTTTGTGGGTCAGGGTTTTATTTTCATCTATGGTCTGGCCATTGTCCATTTGTATATTCTGTCCCCCAGATCCAAACTTATTTCCTCTCTAGTTCACAGCACCCAAACTTAACTACTGTCTACATTGCACTAACCTCCTCACATCCACTTTTGCTTCTCTTTTATCCATTCTTTATATTGTAGCTTCATCCTACTTAAGGCCCTTTAGTGGTTTCTCATTACACTTAGGATTAAAATAAAATTCTTAATGTTATTATAAAATTGCACAGTCAAGCACTTCTCTCCAGCCCTATCTGACTCACTGTGGCTATAAGAGTTTATCAAAGGCATCCTGTTCCTTTGCAGGACTTTCACACATTATTTTCTCAGCCCAGAATCTAGGCTGTTCTTTCTTATCTTTACCTAGTTTATTCCTACTCAATCAAGACTCTGAGCACTTGTCACTTCATTTGGTGGGTGTGTGTACACCACATACAACTTCTCTCATTACACTGGCCCCAGTAATTTCGGGGGTGGGGAGAACTTTGTACTTTTTTAGGTTTTACATTACACTTATATTGAAACTGTTAGAACTTTCAACTCTATACTTATATTTACACCTAGGTTTTTCTCTAAGAGCTTTATCACTTATATTTATGATCCATATTGAGTTAAATTTTGTACATGGTGTGAAATAGAGGTCCAACTTCTTTTGCACGTACTCAGTTTAAATATGTAGCATCATTTGTTGAAAATGTTATTCTCTCCCCTATTGAATCATGTTGGCACTATTGTTGAAAATCAATCGACATAAATGTGAGGGGTTGTTTCTGGACTCTCAGTTCTATTGTATTGATCCATATGTCAATCCTTGTGCCAATACTCTTAATGTCTTGATAACTGCAGCGTTATAGCAAGTTTCCAACTAAGACTGTAAATCCTCAAACTTTGTAGTTCTTTGAGATTATTTTGATTATTCTGGTTCCCTTGAATTTCCATGTAAATTTTAAGGTCATCTTGACAGTGTCTGCAAAGATCCAGCTGTGATTTGGATAGGTATTGTGTTGACTCTGTAGATCAATATGGGAAATATCACTATGTGGACAATTACGTTTTTCAATCTGTGAACAAGGGCTGTATTTCCATTTATCCATATCTACTTTAATTTCTTTCAACAACATTTTATAATTTTTAGAATAAAAGTTTTATATTTCTTTTGTTTAATTTATTCCTAAGTATTTTGTTCTTTTGCTGGTACTATAAATGAAAATATTTTAAATTGATTTTTTAGAGAGATGGAGAGGAAGAAAAAGGAGAAACACTGATTTGTTGTTCCACTTACTTATTCATCCATTGATTGCTTCCTGTATGTGTCCTGACTGGGGATCAAACCCACAGCCTTGGCTTATCAGGATGATGCTCTAACCAACTGAGCTGCCTGGCCAGGGCCTATAGATAAAATTTTCAGTTCTGAATTATTAACTACTAATGTATAGGTATGTAGTTAACTTTTGGTTATTGATCTTATATCCTGTAACCATAATGAAATCATTGATTGATTAGTAGGCTCCACAGGATTTGCTATATATAAGCATAGATTATGTGCAAATAGGGGTTTACTACTTTCTTCCTTTCTACTCTGGATATATTTTTTCTTTTCCTTGCCTAATTGCCTTAACTAGAACCTATAGTACAATGTTCAGTAGAAGTGAGAACAGACATCCTTGTTTCACTCCTTATCTTAGATGGAAAGCATTCTGTCTTTCACCATTGTGCTAGCTATAGGTCTTTGTAGAGACATCTTTATCAAGTTGAAGGAGCTCCCTTCTATCCCTAGTGTGTGAGTGTTTTTATCATGAAAAAAGAGTGTTGGGTTTTGTTAACTGTTTTTTCTGTATCTACTGAGATTATCATGTGTTTTTTGTCCTTTATTCAATTGAAATTCTGAAATTTTTATAACTCATTATCTATTTTAAAAATTAAGCATTGGTAAATTGGCCTGATGAATGGTATGTTCTTTCTCCTTTGCCTTTCAAATATAGATCGTCTCTTGCTAACTTCACCCCATCTGCCCGATGAAGAAGAGGAGCCAAGGAAAGATGCCCACCCACTCACAAACTACTGTGCTTGCTTAGAAGTTCCTGTTTGAAAAGAAATCACTTGAAAGCACCTGGGATGTCTTCTTAGTTTCACAGGATTCTCTTCTCTTCTTTCAAAAGGGAAAATAACAAATTCAAAAGCAATGACAGTGTGAAGCACAGTTATTTACCTGCACAACAAATATCTCATCTTTTCTGTACATTATAATTCTTATGTGGATTGAAAAGAAAAATACTTAGTAAGGTCTTAAGACTATAATAGTGAAAAGTACAAAAATTAAATGTTTTCCTTTCATATTCCTAAAATTCTTTAAAATATTAAAATAAATTTATGTATGTTTGAGTAGTTATTTTAAAAAATGCTATATCTGGAATCAATTTTAATGACTATTTGGCTTTGCAGAATTGAGAGAAAATAATTGGTTCATCAATTATTTGTATAGAAAGACTAAGAAAGAGGTTATTAATTGCTACCAATTTTATATTATAGGCTTTAATGTTTATAAAAGTATTTTTATTTTGAATAATATTCATTTAAAGTTGTAAAAAAAGTTTGAAATACTAATTGTAGCTCATTTTATTTTAAAACAAATGTTCATCTCTGAATCTTTTTCTCATCATGTAATTACAAGAAACCAACGTTTGAGTTTCTTTGAAGTTGTTTCACGTCCTTGATTCAGTGCAGTTTCTTAGAAAGGCCCGCATAAAGGTGACGTTTAAAATACAGTTATGCCGTCACTGTCTATCTTGGGAGAATGCCTGTGCCTTCTCCTTTCTTTCCTGAGCACTCTCAGGAGCACCTTTCCCTTCCCCCTCTTGTCCTTCCCGCCACTTGCCACCCCCCACCCCCACCCCATTCATTACTTTTGCCTTTTTCTCTCTGAAGCTCCAAGGATCCTTTTGCCTCTAACTTGTTTCCTGAGCCTACACAGCCCAGCTGGCTCACTTCTACTACCTCTGTAACTTTCTAAATAAACTTTATGTTTTGGGGAGAGTGTGTGTGTTGTGTTATGTCAATGAAACCTTAAGCTGGTCAAGAGCTCTATCTAATATATGAGTGTTCATCATTCTGCTAGGCTCTGTCTAGGTGCTATTGAACCTGCAGTGGTAAGACTTGTTTAAAAAGTCAGGAGGAATTTAAGGATTACCCAAGAAGAAAACTATCCTGTCTAAATCTAAATTGTATTGATAATTAGGTGCTCCCAAGTTGTTAAATATGCTCTTAATTTGTATTTATTGAAAAACTTTAGCTTAGTGTCATAAAGCTTACATTATTGTACTGTAAGTTAATTTCAGATATAAAATTTACCAATTCATACCATGACTGAAAATTTTACATTGTGAAAGAGTAGGAGAAGCCATAAACCATTAACCCTTATTTTGCAAAATAAAAGTTTGGGATTGATATATAAAGAATTTGATAGATATAAAGATATATTCTGACATCATGGAGTTTGTCTCCTATTCATAGCTCATTAGTGGTGTCTTGTAAATAAAAGTGCGCTTTACGTAAAGCACTGCAATTAAATTTACATTCAAACAAGATGTTTTATAAAATGTGTTACTTCATTATTTCCATTGGATATTAGGGAGTTCTAAATGATTTTCTGCATAAATTATAATTCTTTTACACAAGTGCATTTCAATAGAAACATCAGCTATTATCACTTATGTTTAAAGCACATACCTGTTATGTTTATATATCTTGTACAAAAGAAAAGAGAAACAATATATAGTTCAGATACATCTCAATGAATACAAGTCTACTTTTTCAAGTACAGATTCTCACATTTGCAGAATGTTAAAATCCAGCCATACCATTGTAAAGTAATTGAACGGTTATACATTTCTGCCCATACCACTTGAATAATTGTTCAATAAAACACTCAGGGATTTGAGTATCTAGCTGTCCCCAGTTTTTATAAGAAATACTCAGAGTACTGAGTGTAGTATAACAGAAATTTCCCTAACACTTGTCTCTATTGCATGGTTTGTTCCTTTTAATTGAAGCAGTTCAGCCTGAATCTCCTTGCTCTCTCTCCTTGTATGCCCTGCTACAGCAGATCTTTTACTTCATTCTAGATTATCAGTGTAAAGGAAAAGTTTCTCAAAATCTATAAAAACTCAACAACCAGTGGCTTGTATGCTGAAAGTGGTGAACCAGGACAAGACCATGACAATGGAACCATATTCACTGCGAGATAGAGCAGCAGACCAGAGGAATGTTAAATATTTGTACTTACAACTTAACTATGTCTATGATTTAGTGTTTGTCTCCTTATTTTTCTAGTAAAGGTGCTTTGTAATTTCTAATATTTTCAGAATACAGAAGAGATTTTACACAGTATAACCAAGATGGTTAGGGGGATCAGAAATAATGATGCCACCCCAACTTGGGGATCTGGAGTGGGTCAGTGAAGTAGAACAGATGGATTGTAGATCAAAGAACAATGGTAAATGTTGATCCCTTCTTTCTTGGCTCATTCCTTTCCAAACTCTGAAATCAGTCTTTGGTCCCATTCTTACATCATTTTTACTCCTTTGCAGGGGCAGAATGAAGTTACCAAATTTAAGGGTGTGCCAAAAGCCTTAGTAATCAACATCAGTAATATTTTTATACCATTTTTTAAAACAAATAAAACTTAATACTAAAAAGAAGTATGATGAACAAAATACTAAACTATTAGGAAAAGGACAAGATCAGCCTGGCCGGATAACTCAGCTGGTTAGAACATCATCCTGATTGATACTCCAAGGTTGAAGGTTCAATTCCTAGTCAGAGCACATACAAATATCAACCAATGAATTTTTCTCTGTGTTCCTTTGTCTCTCTAAAACCATTTTTTTAAAAAGACAGGCTCAGTTGAGCCATATTAGTGCCTGAGGCAAAAGGAAAAGATTAGTAATCCTAATCCTGTCAGTAAAAAGAGCCTTATTTTAAGCATATTGAAGCTTGAGTTCTAGCCCTTTGATTCCTCCCTTCTCACTTCCAAAAATGACCTCACTCCCTAAACCCTAAATCTGTATGATGTTTTCCATACTTGGCTTCCACCCGGCCAGTGTTTGTAGAAAGAACACTGAATTCTAGCCCTGGCTTTTTCATCTGAATTCATGTCTTACTATAAAATCATATAATTGGATTCCAAAGAGTCTCGGTAAGAGAAGTAGTGAGGTTGGTAAAGGTTCCTGCCCCTGCCAGCTGTTCCACAGGAAAGTCCTGTCAATTTCATCTGGAAGTTTAACATCTGCTTGTATACTTAAGAACTACTTAGAATAATCTGCTTGTATACTTAAGAACTACTTAGAATATCTCCTGACTATACTTGAAATATTATCACAACACTCATACCTTATATCAACTGTTTTTCAGCACTTGCTAGGTAAGTGACTATAATATAATATTATTCTAAGTTTTTAACTAATAGAAAATAGTAAAGGAATATTTTGGTTTGCAGCCATTTCTCGGGTTGTTTTTTTTTTAATGTAACATTACCCGGTAGAATGTGTTAGTATGTCAGTTTCCACACTTCTTTTTTCTCCTCCAGTGAGTCCTAGACAATGTGTTTTATAACTCAAATAGTGTTAACGCTTAACTAACTATGCCTCTTAGAAACTAAGCCATATAAGTCATAAAAAGTGCAAATACTACAATTAAGCCAAAACAAAAATATTTCCAATTCTTCAGCATTTGGTAAACTTTTTATAATATTAGCTTTGAGCCTTGACCAGCATGGCTCAGAGGGTTGGGCATCATCCCACAAAAGTAAAGGTTGCTAGTTCAATTCCTGGTCAGGGCACATGACTGAGTTACAGGCCAGGTCCACAGCTGGGGGCTGTTAGAGGCAGCTAATCACTGTCTCTCTCTATCTCCCTCCCTTCCCCTCGCTCTAACACTAAATAAATAAAATCTTTAAAAAATAAATTAGCTTTGAAAAATGAAAGAAAAAAGTTCTAAAATTGAAATTTGACCAAAAAATGATGTTTTCTGTTAAGATACTCTTCCCTATGATGAGATTGTGGATGATATTGTCCATATTATAATTTTTGGAGTTATGTTTTTAAAGTATCTGACCCTCTCTTTTTAAATTATTCAGGTCTCTTTTTCAATTATTCAGGTGCTTGCTTAATGTAAAAAAAAAAGGCACTTGTTAGAAAAGAAGGGCCTTGGCCTTTGCAAAGCAGTTCCCCAATAATTCTGTGGGATTAAGTATCACTTTGCCCCTTTTTAGATGAAGAAACAGGGACTTAGAAAGTAAGAGTAATCTGCAATCACACAGCTAGTAAACTGATATATTTGGGATACAACTCCACGTGCCTTCCAAAATGTGCTCTTAACCAGAAGGACTATTAAATTAGGAGTTTTAAGTTATTTACTAAAGCCAGATATTTTGCAATGGGATTAAAAAAATGTTTTCTGACCTGCACCTGAAAAACAGGAAAAAACTTTATAGTTTCAGGCCCCTTCTAGAAGCAGGTCGGTGTAGCATCACCACTTGAGCTCTCTTGGCCAGAGACCTGTTCGGTCTTTGTGTGTGACTCCACGGAACAAAGTTAGGGTTCATCCCTTCCAACCTTCCTTCTCCTCTCAAGGAAACCTAGAAATTATTGTTTGCTTTAACTATTTTTAAAGAGAAAAACAGTACTTGTACGAAGTAAAATTACTTTTTGTTTATCATATGTACGAAGCAGAATATTTCAAACAATTATAATAATTTGTTTGTTTTGTTTTGTTTTGTTTTGTTTTGGAGAGGTAGCAAAATTATGCTCCAGAAACTATTTTTTATCTTTGCCAGCAACTAATTTAGCACAGGTTTGATGTGGGAGTCATAATTTCACAAGTCAATAGCCTCCAGGATAATATCTCTTAATAAAACTAAATAGACAAATAACAGTCCAAACAAATAACAGATTAATTACAGTTTTTCCAGGCAAGGCGACGTGAAGGAATGAAGTCTAAATTTCATATGAGGTGCATATTTTATACAAGGCTAAGGCACTTGGAGAGTCAGCAACCACCAACCAAACCAAAGGGTTGGTGGTTGGCCAGCTGCCAGCACTAAAGTAAAAGATCCCTATTGCTAGAGCAGGTTGATAGGGTCAAAGATGCCAGTGCCCATAGGTAGTCTGATCACTCACCAGGCCAATGTGGGTTTATCAACAATGTTTTTGAGGAGTATCTCCCCAGGCCGGGAGCAAAGGCCCCAAAGATCTTCAGAAAGTTTCTAGGTTGGGGAACAGTTGCCCTACCCAAACTAAAACTCAAATAGTCCCCACAAACTCAGTATTTATACTCTAAATGTCCCCTTGCCACACAGGCTTCTTTCTCCCTGTGTTCTTATTGATAAGCCCCCAGCAGGGCCCCTCAGCAGCCCAGCTTATCAATGATTAAGATGTAGAATTATGACATTCTGGCACAACTTACTGCATTCCTCTATCAAAGTGACTTTTTTCTTTGTCATAAACAAGTGGATTAAAACAACTTCATGTAAGTCATAAGAAAGCAGTTTTAAAATCACATAAACCAATACACAACATAACATCAAAAGAGACTGAAACAAAAAACTTTTACAAGTGATATAAAACAATGTGACACACCTGTTCCCTCTAAATCTCCCTTCTGCTCTGAAACAGACATTAAATGAATTTATAGAAAGTGTGTGTTCATATACACATACACAAATATACACAGTGCCTGTCATTTTTTTTATATTGCATTTACCATGCCAGACACTCTTCCAGGTGTTTAACATATGAAAAGTCATTTAGTACAACTCTTAAGAGGCAATTGTACTGTTATTGCCCCCACCCCGTTTTTTTGTAGATGAGAAAACAGGCACAAAAAGATAACCTGCCAGAGGTCACACAAAAAGGGTAGACCTTGGATTTGAACTCCCAGGAGCCTGACTCCAAAGCCAGGAATCTTTAACCACTGCTCTTAAGCTTCCTCTATATATGCAGCAGGACATAGACTGGGTATGCCTACAGATGCACATCCATATACATGTTTCATGCTACATTTTAAAAGTTTGTCAGATGTCCTTGCAGACTTTGACATGTAAGCATGAAAGACAGGGAAAGAGTAGCAACTGCCAAAACCAGGGAGTAGAGACTAAGACTACATAACATCTCAGACAGTAACAGGCATGAAATATATTCCTTGACTAAGCAACTAAATTCCTGAAAAATTAAAAGTTTCAGTTCTTATACAAGGAGTAGGGTGAAAATGAGATTGCTTCTGAACTAGTCTTGTAGAAAAGAAAGTAACAATTCTTAAAACTCCGTGGGTCCAGAGGAAGAATCCAATGTATAACAATCAACTCATTAGTGCAATTAGCATCCAGCAGGTAGGCGGGCTCCATCCTGTTGAATTATGCTATAGCCTAAAAGCAAGGCCAGCTTCATAACAAAGGAGCTCCTGTCTTAAGTAACTTTTTATGTCATAAACCATGATAGGAAGGACTCATATTTTGTATCTTAAAGTATTTAAATTAAAACCATACACTCACCCCACAGTAAAAGAATCAATGAAAAGAGGAAGTTGCTGCCACCAGCAATTCAAAAGGTTTAGACATATAACTTTAACAGTGTCTGTTGAGGTATCTCTATTTAACTGCTCTACGCATGCACCACTACTTCTTGGATTTTTTAAAGGCACCAAGAGATCTGTTTTCTGAATTGCAGTCAGTGATCCATTAAAATTTCAAATTTTATTACCGGCACGCTTTGCTTTATTGTGTTTCCTAACTGTTGCTTTTTTTTTTTTACAAACGAAAGGCAAGACCCTCCACTAGAAAAAAAAAAAAAAAAGATCGCTTTATTGCAATACGTGTTTTATTACGATGTCTGGAACCAAATCCACAGTATCTCCGAGATGAGCTTGTATATTATGGTAACTGTTTGAAATGCTCCACTTGTTTCCTTTGCACCTGATAAAGACCGAAATCCTCAACTGCCCGAATGGTCTTGCAGCAGCAATTCTTGCCTATCTTATCAGCCTCACAAAAGCCACTTTTTAAATCTTTTCTACTCCCCGCATCTCCCCACTTCTTCTCGAGGTGTCAGCCAAAACAACTTGTTTCAGTCACTCAGGTTCCACCTTCAAACTTCAAACTTAAAGAGCCTTCTCATTCGCTCTCCCTTTATCCTTTTAGATTTTTACCCTCGAATTTGTCCAACTAACTCAAATTTATCAGTCAACTTTTCCCTTAAATGTCACTTCCTTAGAAGCTCTCAGTGAGCCGAGATGGGATTGGCCTAATTCTACAGTGGGTCACACCCTCCCACTCACCTACTGAGATACAAACTGATCCATAGAGGCGATTGTTCCCATTCCATACAGACGGAGTGAACCGGCTCCTCTGCCGCCGCAAAGTTCCCCTTCGCCTTGTGTCTGCGAGGAGGAGGGTGTGGTGGCGAAGCTTTTAAAACCACCCTGAAACCTTACTTCGACCCTCCAGTTGCTCAATAGTAGGAATCGGAGAAGTCTGCCCCTGGGAACGGAATGATCGGCTGAAGCCCCAAAAAGGGCCTTGCACCCGGGGAAACGCCCGCAGCTGTACTCCCGCGCTCGGGCCACGCTTCGCCCTCCACTCGGGCTCAGTCGGTTCGCGCCCGTCTGTTACCTGCTCGTTTCCGGGGGAACCGCCACTCGCCGCGCGGGCCGAGAGCGCGCCGCGGCCGGGAAAGACGCCGCTCCCGCCAGTCGGATCGAGGTCTAGGTGAGACCGGGCTCTGAGATTCCTGCAGTGTCGCTCCTGGCCATCGGTTCCAGGTAAGCCGGGAGGCTGCCGAACCGGGCCGCGCGGGGCTGTGCTGAGGCTCAGCCGAGCACGTCGCGGAGGCTTCCCGAGCGTCTCCAGTGCGCCGGACCCCGGGACGTCGCGGCTTGGCCGCGAGGGGGTCTCCTCGGTCAGGCAAAGGTCTTGGGAAGGCTCAACTCCCTGGTCCCAGACCTGTGGTATCAGATTGGGGGCGGCGGGCCTTACAAGTTTTCGAGAAGATACTGATCTGAACAAGAATTTGAGGGTTGCCTTGTTATTTCCAAAGAATGACTGTGTTTGGTGGGAGAACGCAGGGAGGAGAGAGAAGGGGTGGGAGGTTAAGGGAGTGAGTGGAGTGGTTGGTACCATTTGAGAACCCACTACCCTCCTACATTCCCTCCTACATTGCCTACACCTCCTGGCCAATTTAAACATCTCTTAATTCTCGCAAGTATTTTACAGTTGAGGATTATTATTACAAATTTACAAGTGAGCTGATTTAGGCTCAGGCAAGTTAGGAATCATCCTGTATAACACAGGTTGAAATGGAGGCCTAGGAATCTACAAGTTTTTTGGGGTTTTTTTTTTTTTTTTTTTAAGTTTTGTGTAACCAGTGGTTCACAAAGGAAGGTTCTGAGATTAACAGCATCACCTGGAAATTTATGGGGAATACTACACACCAACCGAATTAGAAACTGGGGATGTGGCCCAGCAAACAGAAGATCAATTTAGCCACAGTGGGGCAATCGATTGGAGGCACCATTGTGTTTTAGGGTAGAAAAAGGGCTCACACTATAATCCAGGCAAGAGATGTGGGTAGCTTGAACTGGAATGGTAGCAGTGCCTGTAAAACTAGCTGTGTTCAGTTCATGGTCTGTTTTCTTAATGGCCTCATTCTGAAAAGCAGGGAAGACTGATTTGTGTAAGTGCTTGGGAAATGGAAGGCACAGTGATACCTGGAGTGAGTACCTACTATGTTCCTTGTACAGCGCTAGAATCCTTTTTTTTGTACGTATTTTCTTAACAGTTATTTATTTTTTCTTTTGATTTTAGTTTTCCCATTATACTCTGCAATTTACTAGTTGCATGATATTGGTTGGGCAAGTCTCATAAAACACCCTTCAGCCTCAATTTTCTAATCTCTCACTACTCTCTGCAACCTCACACCCAATCCCAGGCAGTCCCCATCTTTCTTAATGCATATACCTCGTGCGTACAGGGGAGAGACCCAGGAAAACTGAGTAAAACTCACCAAAATAACAGAAAACACCGCCTCAAATATTATCTTAAACTCAAGACAAAAAGATGTGGGTGGGAGAGTCAGTTATGGGAGGGTGCAGTAAAAGAATTACTGGAAAACGCACAATAAATGAGGGTAAGATTGTTATGCAGATTGAGTCATTGCCTTCTGCATTGATAAGAGTTCCTAAAGTTTTATTCCTCTTCCTGGTTCTGCCTAGGGAGATACACTTACAAATGGTTTCTCCTACAAATGTAAATGTCTTTTACAAAGGGCAACTTTTATTTGGTGTTCTGAGCGACTCCCTAGCGTACTCTTTGTTAAAATTAACTAGTCTACTATCATCCTACACCAAAGAGGCATGTTTGGGGTGACAAATTCTGTTCCCCTAGAGCCCTTAGGCTGTGAACCTGTATGTACATCTTGTTACTGTATTGAAGACTATAGGCAGTTGTGACGCAATGATACTTATGTAATGTATTGAAATGTACCATGCTCTGGTGATAGGAATTTTTCAGCTCTGTAATAATCTATGGGACCACCAGAGTTATATGTGATTCTTCATTGATCAAAACATTGTTAAGCAGGGTGTGACTGTACCATTCGACAATTAGAAGTTACCAAAACATTATACATAGTGTGGGCAGATAGGGACAGTAGCTTGGCAGAGACTTATGCTTTATTTGATGTACTTCTGTATTGGAATTTATTAAAAGCTGGATAAAATTAAATGTGTTTTAAAATTCTGAAACTTGTCTCCTGCACCTCCGAAATTAGTGTAGGAAGTTTTCTGCATCATGCTATTACGGTGAGCCTGCTGAGAATTAATGTCTTTAATATTCCCTGGGGATTTAACAACTAACCAGACAGCAGTTTTAGGTTAAATATCAGTAGTGCTTTTTATATGTAAGTAAATAAACACACATGTAATATATAATGTAATAAAGTGTAACATTTTATGGGATAATATAAGGTGTGGATTTAGCTAGATTTCTTAGAGCTTTTGAGGTTTTATGAGGTAGTCTTACAATAGTTTTTATTGTACATGTGTTAAATGCCAGCTCCATGACATGTGCCTTGCTTTGTTTTCTCAATGATAGATATCACTCTGAAAAACTGAAGCTCAGAGAAATTTGGCCAAGATAAGTGACCAAGTTGGATGAAAATTCAGTTCTGTCAGGTACTGCTGCATCTCAATTTGTGTTATATCTGCCTCACTGTCATATTCCTGCAATCAATAAGCTCCTGTTTTTCCCCTTAAAACTTTTTTTGGAATATGTTATCAAATGTGAATAAATATGAACATATCAATACAAAAATTATATGGTCTTTGGACTAGATGTAGAGAGATGAATAGAATGCTGAGGGAGTGAAGAAGGGGCAGTATAACTTAGTGACTGACTATCATGCCAGTGGTTATGCCAATTAATGTAATGTTGTGAGTGTATCCAAATTATTGTAGACTCAGCTTTATAGCTCATTGAGGATGATAGCTCTTAACTTAGAAGGTTGTTCTGAGAGCTTACTGGAATCAGAGACTGTATGAAAGGTTCTTAGCTTAATGCCCAACACATAATAAGCCACCCCTAGAGAACATGTCTCTTGGTCCGAGTCTCCCAAAGGAGCAAATTTAGTTCTCGGAAAGAATAAGCAGTGTGCTTTGCAAAGAGGAAGAACAACATGAATGGAAATAAGGTTGATGAAAAATAAACAGTTGCTAAAAAATAAAGGCCAAGTGCTTTAGTGAGGGCCATAGCCAGATGAAGATGATAATTTATGAAGGTATCTGAAAGATAAGAAACTTGAGATAGTATATAAAAGTTTGTGTGTGTATATGCCTTTATATATTTTTCTTAACTTTATATACATATAAAAGGCATACTTCGTACTTGTCAACCTTAGGCCTCATCAAACCCAGTACTTGTTGCATTTTGACAAGAAAAAAAATGGACACTTGGCGCTTGCTCAGGACTCGTACTTGCTAGAAGTTGTATGAGTACAACACCACCCCACAGGAGAAAGTGCTTCATCACTTGGTACTCATTGGTTTCGGCACTCATCACAAGTTCTGGAACGAATTAACAAGTGCCTTGGTACGAGTGTGAGTGTGTGTGTGCGCGCGCAATATAAAAACTTGAGATAGTCAATAGGACAAAAGTAGAGAGGCAGGGAATATTTAAGAGAACTAATCAAATTCAGTGTGTGTGTTATATTTGGATCCATATGCAAATAAATCTAAAATGGAAAACTCCTGCCTTGGCTGGTGTAGCTCAGTGGATTGAGTGCTGGACTGCAAAGCAAAAAAAGGTCACGCTGGTTTGATTCTCAGTCAGGGCAGATGCCTGGGTTGCGGGCCAGGTCCCCAATAGGGGGCGTGCAAGAAGCACCCACACATTGGTATTTCTCTCCCTTTCTTTCTCCTCCCTCCTCCTCTCTCTGAAAATAAATAAATAAATAAATTTTTTAAAAAAATGTTTTAAAGTAAAAAAGCTCCTCCTTGGCCAAGAACAGTAGGCATATATTAGTTGGCATTTATATGATATCCTTATTTTAAAAGGTCCTAATCCCCATTTTATAGGTCAGACAAATGGCATTCAAAAAACATATGTGCATTTTTCCTAAGAAATACAGCATAAATAATCAGAAGTGAAACCTAGTATCCTTTGCATAATGTTGGCCCTGAAACACTGCCCCCCGTAGCATGTTGGTATAATAGCTTTTATTTGTGCAGGCCCAAGACACTGAGTCAAGCTTTGAATTTGGGGATAATTTATCAGTGGAGACTTTGTAGAACTACTGCCGTTTTCCTATTCTGCTGGCAGAAAGTCTGTGTAGTAAAAACTTGCTAGGTCACCAAGATAATTTCAAATGTCAAAACCATGCTTAAAATTGATTGTTGGTGGCTATCTTGAAAACAAGTCAGGAAATTTTCTCCTTAACTTTTTATATGGAAATTTTCAAACCCACAGAAAAGTTGAGTGGATTGTAATAAATATAAATACACTGTATATACTTTTTGCCCGGATTTAACAATTGTCAACCTTTTCCATAGTTGCTTTTTCTCTTATATTTATGCAGTAAGTCCTCACTTAACATCATTGTCGGTTCTATGACTTGAAGGAAAATGCTGTATAACAAAACCAGTTTTACCATCAGCTAATTGATAGAAACAAGAATTAAGTTCTTCTGACATCTCATCAACATTATAACAATATAACATTGAACAAAACAGTGTTATTCAAGGACCTTCTACATATACATTTTTTAATTAATGAACCTTCTGGAAGTAAGTTGCAGTCACCATTTTTTAAATTTTTTAGTTATTGATTTTTTAGAAAGAGGGAGAGAAACATCACTTTGTTGTTCCGCTTATTTATGCATTCGTTGGTTGCTTCTTGTATGTGTCCTGACTAGGGATCGAACCTGCAACCTTGGTGTATCAGAATGATGCTCTAAACAAATGAGCTATCAGGCCAGGGCTATCGGTATGTATTTCTTAAGAACAAGGACATTTTATTTGTTACCTATGATAAGTTAATGTGATAAATTAAGCACAATTTAATACTGATACAATAATGATATCGGTATTAAAATTCTCACATTTGTCCCCAAAATTTCAGTTTAACTTTTAAGATACCAGACTCGATCCAGGTTTGCACATTTTGTCATACTTCTATAGTCTTCAGTCTAGAACTTTTTAAAAAATATTTTAGAGAGAGGGGAAGGGAAGGAGAAACAGAGGGAGAGAAACATCAGTGTGTGGTTGCCTCTCATGCATCCCCTACTGGGGACCTGGCCTGCAACCCAGGCATGTGCCCTCACTGGGAATCGAACCCGTGATTCTTTGCTTCACGGGCCCGTGCTCAATCCACTGAGCTACACCAGCCAGGGCCTAGAACTTTTTTGATTAAATTGAAATGGAATATTTTTGACAAGAATATTTTATAGGCAATGTTATGTGCTCAGTATTGCAGCATATCAGGAAGCACGTAAGGTCAGTTTGTTCCCTATTTTTGTTTTTGATTAATAGAAAAGGTGAATCTCTACAACTATGAAATCTTGTTTTTCCAAGAACTTCCACTCGGTGATTTTAGCATTCATGGATGACTCCTGTGTGGGTATTTTATTACATTGGTGATTGTGGGATCATAGAGTTCAGCCTGTGGTATATACTTAGCAACGAAGCTCAGCTAAGGGGCAGAGGGATAAACAGGTTTGTAGGAGCTGGTCAGTGCATGAGGTCTGGGGGAGGATATCCACTGCTTACTGGGTCTTGAAGCTAGAGCCAGGACTAAAGGACACATTATCTTACCTGCCACCACCTTTGTTCACAGCTCAATGGAGTTTGCGACAGCCCTGGCAGACTTTCAAGCAGGGGCTAGCTGTCCCATCTGTTCGGACTACTTGAAAGACCCAGTGACCATTAACTGTGGGCATAACTTCTGTCTCTCCTGCATCAGTATGTCCTGGAAGGATCTAACTGATACTTTCCCCTGCCCTTTTTGCCGATTTTGCTGTCTAGAAAGGAAATTTGCAAGCAACCCCCAGCTGGGCAATTTGACTGAAATTGCTAGGTTACTCCAGATAAGAAGAAGCAAGAGGAAGAGACAAGAAGAGAAGCTTTTATGTAAAAAGCACAATCAGGTTTTGACCTTTTTCTGTCAGAAGGACTTAGAGGTTTTGTGTGCACAGTGCACTTTCTCTGATGATCACCGGAAACATTATGTTTGGCCCATAGAGAAGGCCGCCCCCTATCATCGGCAAAGATTGGAATATTGCCTTGAACCATGGAAAGATAGAGTGGAACAAATTGAAAAGGTGATAACTATGCAAACCAGAAAATCACTGGAACTGAAGAAGAAGGTAGAATATAGGAGAGAAGAAATAAGGTCTGAATTTGAGCAACTTCTGTTGTTTCTTCAAAACGAGCAAGAGACTGTTCTTCGGCAATTACAAGATGAAGAAACGAATATTTTAGCAAAACTAAATGAAAACATAACAAATTTTTCAGATCATGTTTCCACATTAAAATATTTATTAAAGGAGATAGACAGCAAATATGTGAAGTCAAAACTGGAATTCCTGACAGATGTTAAAAGCATCTACCATAGATATAAAACCTTAAAGGCCCCTGAACCTTTTTCATTCCAGTTAAAAGAATATGGTTACCATCTTCCTCCACAATATTCTGGCCTAAACAAAATTATCAAGCATTTTCACGTTGATGTATTTCTAGATCCCGAAACAGCACATCGTAAACTTATTGTTTCACATGATAGAAAAACTGTACAATATGGAAATAGAATGCAAAACGTACCCCATAACCCAAAGAGATTTTATCTCTGCCCAGTTGTTCTGGGTTCTGAGGGATATGATTCAGGCAGACAGTATTGGGAGGTAGAAGTGAAAGACAAGACTGAATGGGCCTTGGGCGTCTGCAAAGACTCTCTTCCCAGAAGAAGAAAGAGTCAGAATGCTTCGATTTTATTAGAGGATGGGTTGTGGTGTATCAGGCGAGGTGGTCCAATTAATTACACTGCACTGGGTCCTGAAAAGGTTAATTTTCTGCCAAAAGTAATACCTAGAAAGATTGGCATTTTTTTAGACTATGAATTGGGTGAGGTTTCCTTTTACAACTTGAGTGATAGATCTCTGCTTCATGTTTTTAGTGATTACTTTACAGGAGCACTTTGGCCCTATTTCCATACTGGAACTGACTCAAAACCTCTTAAAATCTGTACGGTAACAGATTTTGAATAATGAGCTATTGGGAGACTTGTTTATTTACCTTAATAACTCTGTAATGTGCTTTGTTCTTTTTCTTGTCTTTCTCAGTTTTGACGTAATACAATGAAAAATGAAATGGTGATCTCACCATATATATACTTATGTATGCACACACAATCAATAGATAATCTTCCCTCTGTTTCTTTTTAAGCAATGTACCCTCTCTGTTCAGCTGCCATCCCTCACCTCGTTTGGGAACTGACCTTTCTTCTTGAAATCCCTGTTGATTAGTTGTTTTTTTCTTTTTAGGTTTACTCTATTCAAGGAATCACATCTTAACAATATTGGGACTTCTAATCCATGAACTCATTTATTTGGGTCTTTAACTTCTCTCCAATTTTTATAGTTTTTAGTATATCTGACTTTCACATTTTGGGGTAGATTTATCCCTAAGTAGAATCCATTGGATTTTCTGTAGAGGTGCTCATGCCATTTGTAAATAGACTTCCACTTTTTCATTTACAGCCTAAGTTCTTTTTCTTTTCTTGCCTATTTGCACTGACTAGGACCTCCAGCACAGGGTTGATTCTTATTTTGATTGGGTTTATCCCCCATTTTACTGCTCACATTTACTCAATTTCTATTCTTTTTTTTGTTGTTACTTTTATTACCTAACTTGGATAGCTCTCAGTCTTCGCTTAAAATGATCTTTAATATTGTCAATTCAATATTACCTCACCATTTCCCCACTGATGGGTATATATTAAGGTCATGCTAACTTTTGCAAATAATGTACATTGAATATATATTTATACTTTTCCATTGTGGACCATAATGAAAAAGAAGACACCCACATACATAACCATGACCTGACACTAACATCACCTTTGAACTCTGCCTCTTCTCAGCCCATCTCTTCCTGGTTCTATTCAGTTCTCTCCACCATTCTTAATTTGACATTCTACTGAGTTTTACATAAAATCAACACTGGATTATTCTGTCAGGGTTTTTTTCCCCCATGTTCATGAGATTAATCATGCTTTTGCTTAAGGTAGTATTTGTTTTCACTCCACTTCTGATGGATACTCAGTTTGAAACTATGAAAATTATACATCTGGTTTCTTTGTAGTGTAAATTAATGGACCTTCATCTTGATTGGATACTGCAATTTTTCCCCCAAAGTTAGTGCCAAATTACACTCCTACACAGTGTATAAATGTCCTCATTGCTCTGCATTAACAGTTCAATTCTAACAAATTCTTTACTAGTTTGCAGGATGTTAAATGTTATCTATAGTTATAATTATTTCTATGATTTCTAATAGAGTATATTTCCATAAGTTTAAGTTATCCCTGTTTCTTCCCTATAAAGTACCTGTTCTTTTTTTTTTCCTTTTTTTTTTAATGGTCTTGCTAAGATCAGCAATGAACTCATTTCTTTAAATTGACTTTAGAGAGAGAGAAGAAAAAGAAAGCCCTGGCTGGCGTAGCTCAGTGGATCGAGTGCGGGCCTGCGAACCAGAGTATCGCGGTTTGATTCCCAGTCAGGGCACATGCCTGGGTTGCAGGCCAGTTCCCGGCAGGGGACGCATGAGAGGCAACCACACATTGGTGTTTCTCTCCCACTCTTTCTCCTTCCCTTCCCCTCTCTCGAAAAATAAATAAAGAAAATATTTAAAAAAAGAAAAAGAAAGAGAGAAACATCAGTTTGTTATTCCACTTACTTGTGTATTAATTTGTTGATCTTTTGTATGTGCCCTGACCAGGGATCAAATCCACACCTTGGTGCATTGGGACATTGCTTATAACCAACTGAACTATCTGACTAGTGCTCCTTGTTTTTCAATTAGTCTATTTGTCTCATTGATATCAACTCTTCTGGGTTCTAGTCCTGTAGAAATTAGTCACTGCAGGTATCTTCAAGTTTATCTCTTATGGTGTCTCGTACAGAATTTCTTATATTTGATGTAGTTGATTATATTGGTCTTTCAAGGTTTGAATTCTTGTTGAAGAAATCCTATCCTACACTAATGCTATTAAAATACTCTGCATGCTTCTAAACATTTTAAACATAATTGGAGTTGATAGTGTTTGGGGGAATAGGATGGGGCCCGCCTGGATATTTAGTTATATATAATGAATAAATAACCAGTGGTCACAACTCAACTTATTAAGCAGTCCATCATTTTTTCAACTGATTTGCAATGCTACTTGTATCTGACATAGAATCTGTTCTACTGGTCTGTTGGTCTATCCTTGGGCCAATACCATGCTCAAATATTACAGCTCACTCGTTCGTGATATCTGGTGGAAATTTTCATCATCCATTCAGGGTTATCTTGGCAACTCTTGGCCTCTTCCATGTAAATTTACAATCAGTTTACTAAATTAAACATAACCATGGAGAATTAATTTGAAATTGCATTGAAGCTGTAAGTCAAATTGGACAAAATAGACAATCTCCACTTTATGGAGTTGCCTGAACATAATACACCTTTACATCTATTTAAGTGTCTCTTAAAAATTTATATGACATCTACCAGTTGGCTGCCTTAGGTTATAATTAAACTTTATAATTCACATGACATCAAGATTACTCAGAATGATACAGTGTAATCAGCTTGCCAGCAGCTTTCCTTTTTATGGAAATCCTTGCTGTAGTCTATATAGCTTAGAAGTCCAGGAGTACTTTCCTTGGGTTCCCTATGAGATGGCTCAGGTGGACATAAATGAGACATTGACAAAAGCTTCACAGTCCAGAAGACCACTAAATCTTAATTTCCTGACAAGTGAGTGGGCTCCATAGATCGAAAAGGACCTTATGAAATTTTACTAAAGATTATTAAGTGATCTCCGGAGGAAGCACATATACAAGGTAGCAAAAGTTTTAGAGTTTGAACTTTGTAGGTTTTGGAACCAGTTTCCTTACCTTTAAAATAGAAAAATAATCAACTTCATAAAGTTGATTAAAGACTTAAGTGCTCCCAGCTGCCACCCTCAATAATACCATGACTTCAGACCTAGTCTCCCCTTTCTCATTTCGATTAAACAATGCAGCTAAGCATTTTGTGCTTTAAGAATAGTTTATTTGATTCCAACTGAATCTTTAATCCAGTGTTAATGTTTTTGTTAATGTTCATTGTTTACAAGATTTATTAGAATTACCAACCATTGCTTTATAATCACCATTGCCAACTTAGAGGCAACCCCTTTCAACTCATGTTCTCTGGGTATTTTATAGTCACTAAATAAGCTAATAGTGATACTTATGAATTTTTTAGTTTGAGGTATCATTTGATGTCCTACTTCGGAAGATGAGAATTTCACCCTGGCCCTCTCCAAATAGAATTCTTCATTTTTTTATATTTTCTGATGTTTACATGCAGTGGTCTAAATCTGTCAATTTAAGCACATGTAGCTTTCTACCACTTTGATTTTGCAGATTACCCGAGGAGCCATCTTACCAACCCCAGTGCAGGCAGGTTGTTCACTAAGCCAACTGCTCAGATAACATCTTGGGGGTGGATACCCTTAGCTTCTCTTGAGTTTTTCCTATTTCCATATCTTTGTCCATTCAGAAGTTAGTGTCTCATTCTGTTGGAGAATGTCCTTCAGTAGCTTCCTAATCAGAGTACATGGGAAATAAATTGTATGAGGACTGTATGTCTGAAAATGTCTTTAGGCTATCCTGATATTTAACTGAACGTTCCTCAGGGTACAAAATTCTAGTTTTGAAATAATTTGCTCATTTTTAGCATTTTCATTGTGGTATCTAAAGTGTATAAAACACATCAGCATAGACAATATGCTATAAGCACAACTTTTTAAAGAAATTGTATTCATTGATTTTAGAGAGAGAAACCAGTTTGTTGTTTCACTTATTTATGCATTTATTGGTTGATTATGTGACCTGACTGGGGATAGGACCCACAACCTTGGCAAACTGTGATGACATTCTACCCAGCTGAGCTACCCAACCAGAGCCTAAGCACAACTTTCAATACTGTATACAGAATTGGTCGGTTAACCTGACAAGGAATTCATATTCAGGGATGTTCAGCTGGCTTTCCCATGAAGAACCTCAAGCCCCATGTGCTACAATTGCTTCAGTTATCTTAATCTACAAATTCTGAAGCTATAATTAAAATAATGGATTACAATGGACAAAAAATGGATGGCATTGGTGGAACTGGACATACATGGATTGACTAAAGTGTTTGAGTCACTCCACACTGTAGCCGGAATAGGACAATAAAGTACAGGGAAGGAACCCTGCAGGCTGTACCTCATTAAACATGGGCCTAGAACTCCAAAAACATCTGTCCAGTCATCGATTTTTGAGGGTGCTGGTAGCCTCATAGTAACTATCAATATAATGTTAGATGAATCTTGCTTTATGGAATTGTGTTTGCTTCAAGTGAACCATTTACAAGATCAAAGCACCCAAAGGACAGAATGCTGGGAACAGTGAAGTTACAAACAAGACAATGTATAGTGACTGCCTGCTAAATATATAGACAATTTTAAAAATGTCTACATGTAGGGCAAAGTTTTGACTGAGACTTGATTTTTTTTTTATTACCCAGTAGTTGTTAACCTTTACACACAAAGAACTATTGACAGTTATCTATTGAGAGGAGCAATAATTGTGCAAATCAAATTGGCTTAGGTCATTTCTTAGCCTACATGATGGAAAACCTATGTAAATAATGTAGAGGTATTCCTTTACATGTTTAAAGGAAAAGACTAGTTGAACTGTTCAACTTCATATACCTTTAATGTAAAAGACCCCCATACCCTACCTTAGCTGTATTCCATTTCCTCTCTGGAACCAAGTTGTGAAAAAAGCCTGTAATCATCATTCCTTAATTAAAATGGGCTTGCCCTGGAGTTTTTATCATTTAATAGTGGTTGTGGATACTTTTAATACCAGTTAGTGATTGTCAGTCTGACTGATACCGTTTTCTCTGCTAGCTCACTTACTAGAGCTCTGAATATGAAAACGTGTCTGAAAATTTTGTTTTCATTTACTTTGTGTCTAATATCTTGTTCTTTATACTCAAGGCTGCAGCTTGTTCATTTTCCAATAAGGGCATACATTACTCAGAACCAGAGTTTAATCTCTCCCTCTAATATTCTGTAGCTTTAATGTATATATAATAGAGTGTAATGATAACCTTTAAATGGCTTTTGCTTCCTCTTTGAGGCAGCTTGCTCTATGGTACAACAGGTGACCCAGTGGGACACTATTATAGATACAAACTTTCTAGGTCCTTCTCACTGAATGAATGAATGAATGAATGAATGGGAGCGGAGGGCTGAACATTATAGTATTTCCATTGCAGCCTTTTGCTCGTGCTACTTATTTAGAGTTGGTTGGCAAGTTCAGTGATCTATCAGGGTATTAATACTAAAATACCTGCCAACAGAGTCAGCACCAGACCAGGCAGGGAAAGAAACCATTTAGCCCTCCCCAGGACTGGTGATTGCAAGAGCAACAGCAGTTGGGCCACAGGGTTATCACTGGGTCTCTGGGAACCCGCACAGTCAGGGTTGCCATGCCTCAGTGTAAAGTTTGTCAAGGTGACCTACTCAACGCCCTGAGCAGAGAACACAGTGCTCGCCCAGCTGACTGCACAGCCTTTACTCCAAATGGTGGGGCTAGGTTGAAGAGAACAGCTTTTCCTGCCCATAACCTGTGTCTTTACACCTTCCTGGTGCCTGACGTCATGGACAGGCTCCATGGTCACCCAGACCTCCTTCGGCTTTACGGGGCAGGACAAACCCACGAGCCCCCTGCATGCAGCACAGCCAGTCGTAACCCAGCAGCTCCGACTTCTACCTCGGTTCTGGAGAGCTGCTGGTCCGAGCAGCGCCTCAGGCTGTACGAGGTAATGATGTGGGAAGCTTTGGAAAACCTTTGTTCACCCAAAACCCCAGGCGCCCTGGGAGAGTGATAAGGCCGTCTGGGAAAAGCAAACAGCAGGATAGTCACAAGGACTGGGACTAGCACCCCCGCTGATAGAACTAATTTTCACATTTAGCCTTTGTACTCTGCTTCTGCCCCGTAGATAGAACTAATTACCGCATTCTGCTTCTGTATCTTGCTTTGCTACGTAGACAGGAAGACTCTATAGGCTGTATAAACCCCAAGAATCCTTTGTTCAGGGCTCAGAATTTGGAGACTGACTCCTCTGGGCCCATGCACGTTAATAATAAACCTCGTACCCCAGAATCCCTCGGTGTCTGGTTGCTTCATTTTCCTATAACATTTGGTTCCCTGACTGGGAAGCGACCTTATACAAATTCGGGTCGACCTGCCACCGACTGGATAAGCGGGGAGGCAGCCGGAGGTCCAACTGGGGAAGTGGGGGTGCACATGCCCTGAGATTTCTCAGGCCCCGGCTGGTTGGGGCGACGGCCACCGGCCCGCACTCCAGGCAGAAAGTGAGGGTTTCGGACTACGACCTGACAGAAGGCGCCAGATCGGTGAGTCCCCCAGGGACTTGACCTGAGACCAGAAAAAGGCTGATAACCTCAAATCAGAAGTTTGGGTCAGATTCATGCTGAGTTCGACCACTTGACCCTCACTTGGGGAGGGACCTGAATTTGGGTTGGATTCATGCTGAGTCCGACCACTTGACCCTCACTTGGGGAGGGACCTGAATTTGGGTTGGATTCATGCTGAGTCCGACCACTTGACCCTCACTTGGGGAGGGACCTGAATTTGGGTTGGATTCATGCTGAGTCTGACCGCTTGACCCTCACCCGGGGAGGGATTGTTTAAACTCGGAGTGCTTGAGTGTGAAAGTGTGCGTGACTGTGTTTGTGGCTCCACGGGCTTGTCCTACGGAGCAAGAGTGGGCCCCAACCTGCCGTTCCTGTGTCAGGTCATACGGCATAACGGTTGGCAGCTAACCCCAAATTCTGCTGGGGCAACCTTAGCCAAGACCGACTTTGTCCCGCGAGGGAACAGGCCAGGCAGACGAAATGAAACCCCCTTCCCTTTGTTTGTCTGCGTCGTTCTGGGAGGATCACCATGTGCGGGGGACCTTCCACTGTGTTAGATTGCATGCTGCAAAACTCTGACTGATTCCGGGGCCAGGAACCGAGCATAGATGCCGGTCAGTTAGAGGTCTTTTGCACCTCTGAGTAGCCAGCATTTGGAGTAGGCTGGCCCCCTGAAGGAACACTAAACTTAGGTATAATTAGGACAGTCCACCTATTAGTAACAGGCAAGCCAGGACACCCCAGTCAGTATGTTTATATAGACCACTGGCAGGAATTAGTGCAGGACATGCTGTCAGGGTGCAGGTCAGAAGCCTAAGACAATGGGAAAGGCTGGCGGTAGGCGAAAAGTGGTGCAATCCAGTGTTTTAGTCACCCGGTCAAGAGGAACACGCTGCCCCCCATTTTCAAAGGAGAGCCAGAGGAAGAGCCGTCTATCAGTCTGCCTCCCCTATATGCTCTGGAAACTCTTGGCCAGACCCGGGGAAGCAAAGACTCTCATCTGCGACCAAGATTCCGGCTCCTGCTGGTCTCTGGCGGCAGAGTAGAGACCCTGCTCAAAGGGGTCGGCCTCTCTAAAATATGCCCCAGTATAACAGAGCAGTGAGGCAGAGGCAATGACCCACCCCCTCCGCTGGAGGGACAGGAGGTGGCTGAGGCCCACATGGCCCCCTGCACCTGGTCCTGCTACAGGGGTTGACAGGGAGACAAGCAGGGCTGCCCCATCCAAGCCCCGTGATTGAGCCAGGAACGAGCTGTGAAGGCCTCCTGGGCCTGTGCTGGCGGCCCTGGCAGTGGGTCCTTTAAGAAACCAGATACCTCTCGGGAGCAGGGAGCCACCAGATTGCCTAAGAAAAGAAATAGACCGGCACACAGGAGCACGGAAGGAGACCAGTGCACCTACTGCAGAGAGAAGGGGTACTAGAAAAGAGAGTGCCCCAAAAGGAAAGAAGAAAAGCCCACTGGTGGGTGACAAAGACCAGGGTTACAAGCACCTACAGTCCTCAGGTTAGCTGGCTTAGACCCAGACCAGACTGCCACAGGGCTTCAGAAACTCTCCCACTCCCCTAGGAGAGGCCCTGGCCAGAGATCTAAAATCATTTACCGAGAAGGAGACTGACCCAGTGTTATCGGTGTGTAGATAACCTTTCAGCCGCACCAACCCGAGACCGGTGCTGGGAAGGCCCTTGCCAGCTGTTTGAACTGCTAATGAAGACAGGGTGCTGAGTGCCCATGAAGAAGGGGCACAGGTTGGGGCAGGGTGGGCACACTGCGTGCTGACCCCAGAGCTCGGGAAGGGTGGAGTGCGTGGACGGGACTTTCGGGGAAGCTCTGGCTGGGTTCCACTGGGAGGCTGGACTGATTTGCTGCTGCTGGCACTGCTTAGGGTTGGGAGTGCCCCTAGCCCTTCGGGCTGTGCCCCGTGTGAATTAGTCTTTAGGACACCTCCTCCCATCCTCAGAATAGATAATGGGGAACCCCAGACAGCAGGAACTTTGCGTGGTGACACTGCTTTCTAGGGAGGTGAGGCCCACTATGGCTTCTCCTGCCCTGCAAGTGGGAGAAGTCTCTACCATAGATTTGCAGCCTCTGCAAGTAGGCTCTCCTCATCCACTGCAGCAGGGGTTGCCAGGAGCTGCTTTGGTGACTGCAGCCTCAGTGCACCACCCCCAGTGGATGGAGGGCAGCTCTGTGGTGCCCCCAGGCCTGCGGTGGAAAGGGCCTTGGGGGCTTCCTGGGCTCCTGAAACCGGAGTCCTGAGACCTTCCCAGGTAAGTGGAACCAGAGTCAGGGTACTGCCATTGTAGGTAAAATAGATGAGCCACATGAGCGCTCCACCTGGAGGACAGAGCATGCACGGGCGTTGCCATCTTGGACCTGGATAAGGCTTCTCTTTAGATTATAGGCTGCATGCTACTGCTGTGTGGGCACTGCAGCAGTCAAGTTCTCTGTGTAACTGGTTCTAATAGTAATGGCTGTGGTTTTGAAAGTCATGAACTGAGGTCCAAGAGTGACCACCTGATTTATAGGGTATTTACAATGTCTAAGCTTCAGAAAGGTGCAAAATGTCCCTGCGAATCTAGGGACTTTTAGCAGAAGATACTTAAAGTGCTAGGGACTTTTAGCTGCCACATACTGAGTTTTTAAGCACTGAGTTTAAGTATAGTCTTTCCCAGTGTGGGAAAGGAACCAAGATTAAATGAGAATGATTAAATCTAGATGAGTAGAAATATATATAAAGGATATGAAAGTTTTAAACCTAGAGTAAAGGAAACCTCAACTACTTGTTTTCTGGTTTTGTGGGAAAAGAGCGAATTTCTCTGCCATTGGTTGTTTCTGATCAGAAACCCTGTGTACCTGAAGACCTAGAAAAGGTCACTGTAGCCGGTTGGAAAGGATGCCTTTGCCACTCGGGACCCAGGAAGGGTCATTAGGGGCTGATAAGTATTTCAGCCTGAGGCAAAGCAGCATGTCTCTGCCCTGAGACTGGGCCTGAAGGAGCATGTCTCTGTGAGGCACCAGTGGATGCATTGGTGCAAGAGAATGCCTCTACCTGTATATTGTTTCAGAACTCTGTGTTTCGGGTTTTGCTCTGTATCTACTCTGAGAAAGGAAATTGAGGATTCCAGAA